GCTTTGCATGTTATAATAGACATTACCGTTGTCTATCTTGAGACAATGATCAAAGTGTGGCAAATGAAGATTTTTTTTTTACAAAGACTGGCTACCTGCTAAGCCTCGTTTGCAATTGGCAAAGTGGACAATTGTTTTAATCCAGCACATATTTATAGGAGAATGAGTGAAGGGGAGAGGAGGAGATGGCCCCAGGAAGGAGGAAGCCTCAAGAGGATAATAGTCACACCCCACTGGCTGTCTCAGGAGCCACCTCTCCAATTTTTTCGATCCTTGCTTCTTTGTTTGTCCCCACCCCCCACCCCCACAGCGATTTTGCCGTTTCCATTCCATCCTTCCTGAAGATAATAGACGCCATGGGCGGGATCCATGAATAAAAGTCGTTATTTATCGATGCCGGTTTTGGGGAACATTTTTCCTTCTGATTCATGAACCACTTTTCTACATTCGAAAAGCAGTTCATAAATCGTTCAGCGCCGGCAGAAATTAATAATAATGAATCCATTTACATAAAATAGTCTCATCCTGCCAGGTGCTGATAATATTGGAAGCTAGAACCTCACTGGGAGGCTGGATAGCATGTGTGCGTGTTTTCCAACACATCAGACCTCAGGCCTTCTATTTGTGAGTTAAACCAAACTTTAATTATTTAGTGTCCAGTTCTGATCATTGGGAAATGCTACTTGAAAAAATGGAAAAGATGAAAATAGAAGACTTCATTGTCTTAAGAAGACAGTCTTACACTGTGTAAGAGTTTATATCCAGTCAAATTTATGCTTGAGCCTTTCTGAAAAATGTACTAATCTATAGAATCGTTAATTCCTAGGAGGGACCATCACCATTTGTTTGCATACATACACACACACTCACATAAGCATGAACATACACAGAGCTCCTGGAGCAATAAAGTGAATGCAAAGTCAGAGGGCTGATTTATCATAAACTATGTTTTCCAGAGCACATGCCAAGAAGCACAAATTCTAATGGCTATTAGTAGGTCTTCTTTTGAAAAAGAGTACTGGGATCAAATGAGCTGACACAGCACCCAGTTAAGACAAACTACGGTGACCTTGCCTCCAACAGAGTACCGCTCAACACAAAGTATCTGAAGAGTTGGGCAGAACTTCTATTTTGTTTTGTTGGAGTTTTTCCCACTCAGAGACAGAGGGTCAAGTTCTACTCCCCAGCAATCAGAATAGTATTATCACTGGCCTGTACATGGCTTCTTTCCTGAGCTGTATATTTATTCTACTTTACCTCCTCACATTATTCCTATTCCTATTGGAACCTTGAATTTTTTTATATATGCATTTTTCTTTTGTTTGCATGTATTTTAAACTTCTGTAACTGATATTGTGTTATTTATCTCATTCTGTATCTTTCCTGTTTCACAGAGCACCATGATTTTCTCATGCACCATGGTGCCGTGTAAACACACTCTGACACTTCTGGTCCTATCCAGTGCCTCATTATGCCCATCCATTCTTCCAGGAGAGGGTAGCCAGGCTGCAGTGTTGCAAGGAACACCCTTTGGGATAAAAGTGAGGGTTTCTTTGGGACATATGTCCAGCAGCAGAATTGCTGGGTCAAATGTACATGTATTAAATTTGACTGGGTGGTACCAGATGCTTCCAGGGTGGCTGCTTCAGTCCACACTTCCACCAGCAGTGATGAGAGCCCCCTATGCCCGCCAACATGTGGCATTATCCAGCTGTCTGTTTTGCCATTCTAAAAGGTGTGAAGTGCTATCTTGTTTTAATGGCATGTTTCTAATTACTAATAAATGTGAGTATCTCTTTATGTGCTTATTAATTAGCAGTCTTAATCTCTTCTGTAAATTGACTATTTATAGTTTTTGCACATTTTTTTTTTCCTCCCTGGGTTGGCTGTCCTCTTGTTGATCTAGAGGAATGCCTTGTCAGTTTGGGACATCACAAACTTCCCCTCCCATTCTATCATTTTCTATTAACTGTTCGTAGTGTCTTCAGAAGGTCTCCTCTTCTTATAGTTCTTTGGTAGGAAAACTTCTAAGATGGCTCCAGTGATACCTGCTTCCTGATATTCACACCGTGATGTAAGCTCCTCCCTTTGAGTATAGGCTGAATCTAGACATTCACTTCACATGCAAAGATGATGAGATATCGCTCCATGATTGAATTATAAGAGGTCATGACTTTTAGCAGACTCTGCTGAAGGGAGCGGCCATGTTGGAGGCCCCACAAAGCAAGGGGCTCAGAATGGCCTCCAGCCAACAGTCAATCTGGCACTGAGGCCCTCAGTCCAATAGTCTCTGGAAAACTGAATTCTGCCAACACTCACAGGAGCTTGGAAGCAGGTTCTTCCTCAGTTGAACCTTGAGATACTACAGCTCTGGCAGTCACCTTGAGTGCACCCTGGGACCCTGAAGAAGAACCAGCTAGGGCACGCCCAGATCTCTGACTCATGGAAACAAAAATGCATGTTGTCTGAAGCCATTAAATTCTGGACTAATTTGTTACTCAGCAACAGATAACTCACACCAGCTCTGCAGTTGTAATTTTGATATTTAAGTCCTTAATCTGTCTGCATTTTACTCTTATTTGTGGGTTGTGTGGAGAGTATAGATCAGGTAAAGTCACCGCTACCTGAGGCTGCTGAGTTGAACAGGACCACAGGTGTTTTTGGTTCCAGAGAGAGAATGTGACAGATGGATGTGGCATCTCATTAGCTCCCGCTTCATTCATGTTGTTTCTTTCAGTTGTCATTGAGAAACCCATAAACCCCAATGAAAAGACCCACAACTTCTAATATGACTATTACAAGCACTGTGTTTATTGACCTTTGCTATCTGATTTGCATGCATCATCTCCTTGAATCCTCAAAATTGCCATGTGAGGTAGGTAAAAAGATGTGTTCTAGGGTCAACCAGAAAGGTGAAGTGGCAGTAACTATAAATCACTTAAATCAATTAATCGTCAATTAAAAAGACTGTGGACAAAATTGAGAGACAAATGGCAAATTGAGAAAAGATAATTTGTAATACCTTTGACCATAAAGGGGTTATAGCTAGGTCATACAAAACTTACCAGCCAATACGGAAGAAAGAAACAACCCAAAAAGGAGACAAAAGATGTAAAACAAGCACTCTACAAAATTCACAAAATCAAAAATGTTAAAAAAAAATACAAAGGGATGCTCAGAGTAATCAGAGAAAATGCCAATTCAAACAATGAGGAGATGTACCTAATATCTGTTGGATTTTATGTCTATCAGATTGACATAAATTACAGAAGTGGATGATGCTAACTACTGGCAGGATATGTGGGTACCGGAACTCTCATACTGAGCTAGTTGGGGTAGAGACGGATGCAAGCATTCTGATTCTGGAAGGCAGTCCGGCAGAGGTGAGTCGACATGACAGTCTGCCTACTGTCTAACCAGGCAATTCTGCTCCTTCGTAGACTCCTAGAAATTCTCACACAGGTCCACAGAACGACCTGAGCTGACGTGTTCACTGCACACTTGCCTGTGGTGACAGGGGGTTGGAAGCAACCTGGGTATCCACGGGTGGAGGGAGGTGTCATCTGATGGGTGCCCACCTTGGGGTATCATGCAGTAGAGGCTGTAGGCTACATGATTACATGGCAAGAAGCACGGGCATAAAAGCACAGAGTGAAAACAGTAAGAAACCAAATAAGATAACTAATGCACCATTTGCACAAATTAAACAATACTTGCACAAGAAACATCCAATTACAGTTTGAAAAAACATAAAAGGGGAATGGGAGTGGAGTGGGTAAAGAATAGAAATGGAGGGAAGCAGCCGGAGGAAGTGCAGATTTGGGGACGGTATTTGTATGACTTTATGTGAGAGATCTGATTTGAATTTGCTTAAAGGCTGACAGGGAAGAGACAGTAAAGGGAAAGAACAAAGAATTAGAGGACGGAGAGGTGAAGAATGGAGAGAAAGCCTGAAAGCATGGAGGGAATGAAATCCCAGGCACAGGTGAAGGTGTTGCTCTGGACGGGTAGAGGGGCAGTTCTACTACAAGGGGAGAGAGGAAGAAAAGATGAACAGATTTAACTCTGGAGATGATGGGGTGGCAGGAAATTGAAGAAGCTTTCTCTCTTTTCATGACCTCTGTATTTCCATAAAACATGTTGCAATATCACCTTGTGAAGGTAAATAAATGGATGGCATGGCCAAGAGTTTGAAGAGTGTAGGGAAGGTTGAAAAGAGCTGGGAAAGGGCTGGCGGGCAGCCACAGGGCCTAGTGCGGTGGTGCCCATTATGGGAGCACAACAGGTGGACTGGGGATGCTTCTGAGCTAGTTCTGAAGGTCAGGAGAGCTGCAAGACAAAGAGGGGAGTGAGTTCAGGGATGTGGGAGAGTGAGTGAAGGAATGGGCCCTGGATTGGAACGAAGGGAAGGGACATGGAGACTAGAAGAAAGTAGAGGACTGAATGGTTTGATAAACTGATGAGGCTAAGAACACAAGCACTGGGTCCACTGGGCAAAAGCCAGAGGAAGAGGCAGTCATGTTTGTGGCCTGGACTGTGGGCATTTCACAATGTCCAAGTGGAGCAGTTCTGGGAGGGAGGGGCCGGTGTTTGGCTAGGGAGAGGGCTGTGTTTGGGGAGGGAAGGAACAGAGAGGTGAAGTTGCTCAAGATGGCGGCAAGATTTGTGTTAGAGAGGAGATCTTTTGGCTCTCTCCAAACCTTCGACACTTGGGGATGGAGATCACCAATACCCCAAAGAAAAATGGGAACAAGATGACAAAGGAGAAAGACGAATACCTCTTCACAAGGTCACATGCACACTTCCCTACACCCCTGGCCTTAACCCTCAGCTCTGAAAGCCAGAGCCTCCCAGTAAAGGAGTTGTCACAGTAGAAATGCTCAGAGAAAGAAATAGGGGGTAGTTCTAAGCTAAGTAGTTTCAAAGCAGCAGAGACAGTTGCTTGAAAGAAAAAGTTTCTGAGATTCCAAAGCATATAGTGTTTGCCATAATTATTTCAGGAGAATGAAGACGAATCATTGCAGACATGATGAGGTGAGAAGGGTGAGGAGAACCACATGTTAGGTCTGCGGTGTCAGCAGGGCGGGCCGCAGAGCCTCCCTCGCAGCGGTGCCGGGGGAAGCAGAGGAACAAGGCCATCCTCCTGCCCTGTGCCCAGCAGGACTGACCGTGCACGGAGCTGCAGCAGCTGCCCTCAGCTCTGGCTGGTGAAGGACGGTGATGGCAGCTGCCAGCCTCACGACTGCTGATCATCCTGCAGGTGAGCGGTGTCTGTTCCCCAGGGCTGGGTTCAAGGTTAGGTTGACCTCTCTACCAGGGACAACTGCACCATTGATAACATAGGCCACTCCTAAACTTCACACCCTGTGAGATGGACAAGGGCCTTGTATTCCTGGGGACAAAGGTGAACAGTGGAAGGAAGGAGGGCTAATACTCCAAATACTCAACAACCTTTACTGCACAAGAGCAAAATGGGAGCAAGTCACTAGAACCTGCCAATCATGGGCCCTAGAGTTGTAGGGTTGTGGGAAGCCCTGGGGTCTGAGGGCAGCCTGGGATGGCCAGGGTGGTAGAGGACGTTCAGTGGTTTGGACACTAGCTCTTTGTCACCTGGGACAAAAATATTGAAATATTTGGACCACAGATGCAGCTGTGCTTGTGCATTTTGGCCCTTCGGGGAAGCCCCTGAGCACTACACCTCTGGATAGAACAGGGGTGGAGCATATTCTTGCTTGTCGTACAAATGAGACAGTCAAGTAACAGCATCAGGTCATGAGAGAGCAGCTCAGACCTGCAGAGCACAGGCAGGAATGACAGGGCTGGGGGACACATCTGGACACAGTTATGAAGAAAACAGCCTGACCCAAAGGAAGAACTCTGGATGGAAGCTAAAACACTGCAGACCTGGGAGCTGAAGTTACCTGCATGCTGAGGAAGGTCTTCACAAGTCCCCCGAGTGACAGCAGTTGTGTGCACCCAGCTGCTCATCTCCACGTAGATCCACATGGTGAGAACAAGTCTGGCCCCAGCCAGAGTCCGTCTGGGGTGAGGGATCCCCTGCTTAGAGATCATTGTTCCCCAAGTGAGAGACCTGTCAGATACTTTCTGTGGCTGCTGTGCAGGTCGGCACCAAATGTAGATTTGTGACTTGGGGTAATAACTATGATTTGAGGCACAGGCCACTTAGGTTGAGTCTGAGGCCCCACCAGGTGAAGGAGCCATGATTCCAGGAAAGCGTCTGGGCACCTTCTGTGGTTGGGGAGGGAGCCTTCTCTGAGTGAGGGACCAGATCAGACACAGAGATGCATCTGTTTGTGCTCATTCTGAGATGACAGGGACATATCGATCCTATGGTTCACTGGCTCACAAAGGGCTGGGAGCAACAATCAAGGCAATGAGCACGCAAGCTGATCACACTGCAATCACCATGATTAGGGGAGTGGAGTCCGAAGCATTTGGCCAGTCATGGAGGCAGGAGACTGGGGGGCGAGGGGAAGCAGGGCACATGCCAAACACAATCCGGTCCTCAGGCATTAGGAACATTCCTGAATCCACATTGCTTCATGCCAGGATGCTGAGACCCTGCGGGACCGTTACCCCCTGGCCCTTCTATGTCTGTCTGCTCTGAGCACTCCTTTGGAAATGATGGGGAATTTGCATTTATCAGAAAATTGCTTACTTACTTTAATCAGCTATTTTTAAGGTTTTATTTTAGCTAGATAATGAATAAGACTAAATTGATGTCAGGCATAAAGTAATTTTAACCAATACCTTCAAAATTCTATAATATCAAATATTGGAAAATTATATGTAGGGTAATCTAAATAATGAGATATTAAAATTTCTTGGATCCCAGGAACTCCTCTATTCATTTTGTTCCTCTCTCTCTTTCAGCCTCACTGTGGGAGGCTCCACTGCTGACATCTTTATATATGATGTTCTCATTTCAAAATGCCACTGAACCTTCAAATGAACACTTGCGTATGATCCTGGAATACAAAAATACTTAAATCAAGATTTTTATGTTTTGGTGCAGTCAGCCAGAATGCACAAGAGAAGTGGAAAGGCTTAGCTCTGGCCTTTACCCCAAGAAAGCAGGAAAGGTCCTTCTAAGGAAGAGGCCACTCATGAGAGAGGCATGCAGCCAGCAAGGGATGTCGGGACATCCGGAGACCCTGCAAGAGGGAGCAGGAAGAGCACCTTCCTGCCTGGAATCCAGAGAAAATGCAAATTCCAAGTCATGAGAGGAAAGGCCTTATCTAAGTACCACAAAAATGCTCCAAGAGAAGGGAATACAGTCAAGTGATGCTCTGCCCATCATGGGTGGCTTCCTTTCTCTGCAGAGAGGCTTGGGTGGCACCCAGGGTCCTGAGCTGGTGGTACTGAGCAAGGTCAGCATGAAGACCTGGCGGGTCCTTGGCCACTACCTGCTAGTTTTCTCATGGTCCTAGTCTCACTGTAAAGGGAGAGAATGGACAATTTGTATGTGGGTGAGGGAGTGTGTAGGGAAACCACACACGTGCGTTGGTCACCCACTGTGCCAAAACTGGGCTAGATGCTTGGCTGACATGACTGAGCATGATTTTACAGTGAGCTACATGTTTGCTATTATCATACATTTTTAGGGATGAGGAAATAGAAGCTTAGAGGGTAGTGTAGCCAGCTTGCCACAGCCATACATATGGGGAGTGGCAAAAGCCAGAACGTGAACCCAGATCCACCTGATTGAAACCACACCCTCAAGAGGGTCCCCAGAGATGAGGGAAGATCTCTGGGATGAGGGACTGGGTCACAGATCTAATCCAGAGGGTGGCCTCTGAATGTTTAGTAGTGGTTACATTTTGCCCAAATTGATCAAATGTTTTAAAAGTTTAAAATTGTAAGAAACACTTGGTGGAAAACTGGTGTGGAGAAAGCCCTTGGTTTATTTTGGTTTTGTTGGGGAAGCTCTAGATCTCCCCATTCTCAGGATCACTCAGGCCAGTGACCGGCCAGCCTTCCCCAGAAACACATGGACCTCAGGCGGCGAGGAAGCAGGAGGCAAGGCTGCTGGGAATTTCCAGACCAGAAGCAGCATGGAGAATGGTCCCACTGGCTGAAAAAGTCACATGGCATGTCAGTCACTTTAGGCTATGTTTTGTTTATTTGGATCAGGGACAAGAATTTAACCTTCAAATTTAACCTTCAATTAAACCTTAAACCTTCTATTTAAACTTCAAAACTCAGCTCAGATTATCACCTCCAAGAAATCCTCCCCAGATGCCAAGAAATAGGCTTCAAAGCCGTGTGTGGACCCTGGGCCTAAACTACACTTGAGTTCTGTAGCACTGTATGGTTATAGTATATCATGTGCCCCCGTGAGGCAGCAAGCTTTGTGAGAGCAGGGACCAAAGCAGACACCACGGCTGTGGAAGAATTGCAGAGATAAAGTGACTGAACACATGAAATGTGCAGGAGGAAGGAAAAGCAGGCTGCATCTGGGACCAGCCATCCGAAGACAGTTGCCCATCCAGACTGCTGGCCCCCCACGTGCTCCAAAGCCAAGTGAGTGGCTGGCAAAGGGGCCTCCTTGGAATCCTTATCTGGATTGGTGTGTGGGGCTGGTCAACTAGAGGGCAAGGCTGCTCAGCTCAAGCAGTCCTTTGCCTGGGTTTCTCTGTTTGTCTAGCCCACCGGGAGTTTCTTTCCTGAAAAAAGCTTTTAAAGCAGCAGCAAAAGCTGCCATCCTGAAGGATGTGCACAGTGACCTCACTCCCACCTGGCTGATCCGTGACCGTGGACTGGAGTGTTGGTGCCACATGGCTGGGCTTGGAAAGATCCTGTTCTCTTCTCAAATCCTTCCAAGGCTCATCAGAGGGAAAGGGAAAGTGAGATGAGGCACAGAGGCCGAAGAAGGAAAGGAAGAGACAGAGGGACAGAGATGGCAGAAGAGAGAGCTGACTGGACAGCTAAGGAGAATCACCTGCAGGAAGGGAAGGTGCGGGCTTCACCTGAACTTGGTGTAGGAAACCAAAGTCCAGCAACCACTGTCACAAGCGGGCCCTGTCTTGTCCAGCTCCATTTTCTCACCTATAGAAAAATCGTAAAAAGTATTTTACTCTTTTGTCTAATACTCAGTTCCCCTGAGGAATATTTTTGTTTTGCTTTGTTTTGTTGTTTTTTTTAAAAGGAAAAATGTTCACAGAAGGTTATAAAACACATATAATTTACTCACGGTAATTGCCCACATGTTATTTATGTGCCGTGCTGGCAGTGAAACAGAGAAGAACGACTTGATCAATGCATTAGTCTAATCACAGGGTTCCTGCTCTTAATTTCTTTTGTTGGTAATTTCCATACTCGGGCAGCAATGCGTAGAATTATCTCGATTTACAGATCTTGGGACCCTGGGGAAAATCTCTTTGGAGCCATTTCTGTCTCCTGGGGAATCTGATATTTATTCAATACTGAGTTTGAAAGTCCTATAATATGTATTCAGCAACGCCAAATAACTCCGTAGAAATTTAGTGGGTCTCCATGACATTTTCTCCTTTTTAATTGGAAATTTGTGGGGGCTAAGAAATAGATCACAGAACACGATTAAGAACAACTTTCGGTCAATGGGAAGTCATGACTTGGCAGACTTGGTATTTGTCAGGAGAGTAATACACACAAACCAACACATGCTGCTTCTTTCTTTCTAAAGTTATGAAAATCCTTTGCTTTGCCCAGCTGGTAACACAATACTCTGAGGCAAAGTACTTGTGGTAAGCCTATTGGAAGCTGTGGGAGAAGCGCCCTGTAACTTCAGTTAGCTTGGTACCCCTGTAACTTCTTGACAGGAGAGGCAGCGCACGTCAGCCGGGCCACTGACAGGCCTTCTCACCTCACAGTTGCCAAGGAATGGGGAGGAGGGGACGAGCATAACTTCTGTCCCCAGGGTCTGCACCTTGGTTTGTTCCAGTGCCTACAGGCCCAGGTTGCAATCCTTCAAACTGCCAAGCAGGTGTGGAAAACCGCAGTCCTTCTGCTGAACAAAGCCCTTCAGAGGGGCCCGTGGACAGGTGAGGCCTCCTTACCTGACACAATATCACAGGCGGTCCAGTCTCTGAACCTCAAAGGAAATGCCAGTGGGACCAGAGAGAAGATGGGTGGGCAGCCTGGAAGGTCTGGGAATTCAGGCCAGTAGTCAAGACCAACATTCTCATGCCACCAGCGCTCACCCAGTGATGATAATAACTGTCTCTGTTGGTCCTGGCACTTCATGGTTAGCATCTTGTATGATCTCAACAACCTCAGGGGTAGATGATAGTAATATTTTCATTTTAGAGACAAGGAAACAAGTCTGAGAGGTTAAGGCACACTGAGAGAGAGAGGGTTTAAATCCAGATTCTGATTCCACAAATGCATTTCATACCTTAGCAGGCCTGTTGTCACTTGTTAGAAACAACCAGCAAAACAGCTGACCTCTCTTGGGCAGTAGGATGACCATCTGCCCTGGTTTGCAGGGGACTGTGAGGTTTCCAGGGCATGAGACTTGCAATTCTAAAACTGGGAACATCTGGACAAACTGGGACAAGTTGGTTTCCTGATCTGGAAGTAAAACTAAAATGTAAGCTATTATAGGAGTGTTAATACCCCAAAAAGTAAGGAAAAAATAGCAAACCAGTGATTCAGGATGGGATGCATTCTTCTAGTGAGTTTCGTTTGGCCTGCATAGTGTTCCTAAGTCATTAAATGGGATATGTTTGAAATTCAGGAGATTCCATATGGTAACTTAGATCCTAGAAAATGAAAAATCAGGTCTCAGAGGGCTGCAGTCCCTGCAAGGCTGATGGCAGTGCCTGCTCTGTGTGACACTTACTTTACTAGTTCCTGTCCAGCCCACCTCCCTCATCAGACCTCCTGCCTGGCTCTTTTAGACACTTGAGTTTGAGGTAGAGAGTTTGGCATAGGGAGTGTTACCGCACGGCAACCAGGAAGCAAATCCCAATTGGTCCCCAAAATATTTCATCTATTTTTAAGTTCTTTCTCTCTAGGCCTTAGTTTCCTTTCCAGGTTGAATATTCCAGGGCCCCACGCAAAACAGAGCAAGTTTTTAAGACAGAATTCCAAACAACTTTCAAACCTTCATGAGGTTTGCATGGTCCTAATTACAGTTTACGGTGAGAGCTTTTGAGGACTGGGGCTGGGGAAGAGCCTTCTGAATCGCCATGAAAATGAGTATGTTCATGCAAGGGTTATTGTTTAAAACTGCATCAACATATAGCTGACAATTAGGTAGGATCTCAAGCTTGGAAATCATGTGTGTGCATATATTATTTCATTTCCTGTTCACACCAATTGTGTGTGCACGGGACAATGTTATTTTCATTTGAGGGATGAAGCCCAGAGAGGGTAAACTGCTCTAGCCCAGCACTTTCAACTCAGAGTCTCATTCTTTTCTCCCCATTATGTGGTAGATCTTTATTAACCAGAATGTCCAATTAACCAGAATATGCCTTTGTCTTGAAAATCATTCCAGACTGATTTTCTTTATAGGAAATTCCCATGGAGCTCCAGCCTTTTTCTGCACCTCTTTTTATTAGCCATATGTTTGTCTGCAGCCCAGTGAGGCCCACATTTCAGGGCCTGCACTGCAGATCTTATTACTATGGGCCAGGCAGGTTGTGGGTGCAGGCCTGCAACTGCTGCACCTCCCTGGTGGACAGGCAGCCTCAGTAACTCCCTTTGAAGCTCAGTCGCTCAGAAGCTTGACAGAGACAACAACCCAGGTGAACCCTATTCTTCATGACCAAGTCAGGAAACCTTCCGGATGTTCTTGCTGTTCACCCTGACCTTCGGTCTTACCCTTCTGGCTGAACGAGACAAACAGCTCCTCTCTGCTTAGCTGTGTGCAGCTTAACGAATGCGTATGAAGACCATATAAATAATTCACATCACTCAAGAGGTGGTGAGCAGAACAAGTCCCTTCTGGTTACATTTATTTAAAGATAAGGTGAAACTAAGTGAGTGATGGCCCAGTTACAAAGGCCAGGGTCCAAAGGGGATTGGGACACTCTAAGTTACACCACTAGAGTGATTTGTGCAGAATTATGTCAGCTTTGAGATCCTGGCACCTTGGGGGAAAAGGAAATGTATTATCTCAAAGAAAAGTGATACACGATGACTATGAGCTAATTCTACAGAATTCAGTTTGGCTCTGGCAGGAACAAAATTTCTGTTTCAATCTAAAAGGACCTTTGAATTAGCAACCTTGCAAATGTTATCTTCACTTGGAAATGTCCTTTAGGGACTCATCAGAAACATGTCCCAGCTTCCTGGTGTGGGTCCTCCAGGTCCAGTTTCCTCCCAAAAGAAAAACTGGTGAACCTCCAATGGGTCTAGAGGATCTTGATTTGAATCACCTGATGGGAAAAACATTGTTTAGGAGATCAAGTGAGGGCAGCGTCCATGCTCAAATGCTCAACTAGAAAAGGTGAGGTGCCTGTAGACCTGCACACTTCTCAACGGGCAAGGCG